TGTTAGAATTGGAACTTTTATTTTGTCTTGTGAAAAACTAAACTAAAAATTGTGATTGTAGAATCCACATAGTATTGGTGTTGTAAAATCACACTTCTCATGTAATTTTGTCAATTATTCAATACAACTTATTCGTTTTTATTTTTGGTTGAATTTGTGTTTCAATCTTGATAGTATTGTGAATTGTATAAGTCATTGCGTCTCAATTACAATCTATAAGCATAATTGCTATATTTGCTAAAAGTTGTTTATGCCGCACAAAATCATTTTTGTTTTATAACTCTGATAAAAGTTTTCAAACTATTTTCAATAAATGTTTTAATTTGGAGGTCTATTCATCCCCCTCTAGACCGTTGAATACTTCATATTCTCACCTAACCATTTGTGAGTAAAACTTCACCATTAGATGTTTTACATGATGTCAAAACTAGGAAAACTTAGTATTTCTATATATTGGACGATATCTCTATGTCTTGTGGCACTCCTTTGCATTAGGGGTCTTATGAACCATTAAAAACCATTTTGAAATTGACCAAATCTTGAAAAACAAGTTTTTGCATAATTTTTTCTTGCATGTGTCGACATATATGTTTTTTAGATCGGCACATACAACTCAAATTTGAAGCTTGTAGCCTCTGGAGGGCTTAGGCCAACACATGCATGCATACAGGTCGGCACATACTGAAGCTTTCAGAAATTGCTTAATTTCTTATTTTATGTGCCGACACATACGAATTTCAGGCCGGTACGTGTACTACAGTTTTTAAAGCAAAGTGTTACTGCCATATTTAGGCCGACACATTTGTTTTTCAGGTTGGCACATACAATTAAAATTTGACTTATGTGTCGACACATACTGTTTAATTAGTTCAATTTTTCAATTCTTTTTAATTCTGAAAATTACCTTTTTGCATCTAAACTTCCAAACTATAAATACATCATTCATGCATCATTCCAACTTGATGAAACTATAAACACTTACTGCATTTGCTCTTCATCTTCAATCTCCAACCTAGGCATACACACTGATAAATCACACACAATCATCTTTTTTCGTGGTGCCATCTAGGTGAGGTTTGATAACATCCAATTAGGTTCTTTTGTAGCCGAGAATATTGGGTTGAGATTTGCAGGGTGTTTCATCTGAAAAACCGTGGGGTTGTCCTCTAAGATCGTTGATAGATTTGGGGGTTTTCGTGTAAGATATTCAAGAGAGGATTGCAACCTAGTGAAAGCCTTTGGAGATAAAGAACGCAAAGGACCTTTGGAGATAAAGAAAGCAAAGGAAGTAGCGCGAGAACATCGAATCAAATTGAAGTGTTTTGTGTTCAACAGGTACAATTGATGGTGCACGAAAGCTTTGGAGATAAATAACGCAAATGAGCAGCAGGATTCGATAAATCAATTGGTAGATATTGTGTCTTGGTCTTTCTCAAGAACAAAAGAAGAGAAGGGGTTGAATCAACAACAAATGGTTAGGGTTTGTAGGTTGCTCTTGGAACACTTCTCTTGTAACGACTTTTTGCATAGTACGAAATTATCCTAATTCAAAGTTGGAATTGGGGGGAAACGTAGCCATAGCGAGGACGGTTGGAGGACTTCCTAAACAAATCCTCGTATCTCTTTTTCTTATTGTTTTACTTGCTTTAATTTTCATTAATCAATTTATCAAATAGCATTGAGTAATCGATTGACTCGTAAGAATTTTTCCGTAACTGTTTTTGTTTTGAATTGAGTGTTGATTTGCTTATAATCACTTTTGATTATAAGTCCTTTTTTTTACATCAACACAACTCAAAGGTAAATTTTGAAAATTCGGTCGCACACCAAGTGTTCGACAAATTATTTTGTTTGTTTTTTACTAGTTACCATTAGAAATAGTGTTGCTAGTAACTTGCTATAAATGATTAATACTTTGTTACTTGACTGAAGTTTATATATTTTGTATTGTGTTGTTCATTCCATGAATCTCTCTATATTTGCATATCCAACTTCCAATAGCTAGGTTCGTATAGACGATACTTTCAATATATATCAAAACCTTCTGCTTGCACTCTTTTTGAACTACTTTTAAAATCATGATTTTTATCTGAATTTTTTGACTTGGTGATCTATTCACCCCCCTCTAAATAAGGTGTCATCGTCTAACACTGTTTTTTCTTCACAATGAGAGGTATGTTTCAAAGCTCGGAAAAAAAATTGTTACCTATAAGCATATTTGATTATCTTGACTGTTGCAATAAAATTGAACATAAGGTGTTGAAGATGTCACATGGTGAAGTGATCAAAACTAAAGGACCTAAAATATGTTTCATATAGAATATTCAAATCTTATTTTATCATCAACTAGTGAATACTTTAATAACAAGAATAATCTGTGTGACTTGAAGTCAACACATGATGGATGCTTAAAGGTTGTTTCAGAACACTTTAACGAGTTTTGCAGAAAACAAAAGATAAAAATACATGTGACCGTTGAATTGTCATTTAATTTAGGGTATTTCTTTCCACACCTAGTATCCTTCTCCTAGACTTGTTACGAAAAATCAAAAATACCCCCAGAATTTACAAGTGCACATGCGAACACACCATCAACGTGATTTCATAGATTTACTTCGCATATGCACATGCGAAGTCACCTGTTAGGTTTTTTCGAATGTGTACATGCGAAATTATATTTGGGCAAATCAATCAACATTATTCAACATAATTCATAACATTCATTCTACATAATTCAAAGAAATTACATAATTAGTTATGCAGAAAATTAAAATTACATATTGTTATAAACGGGAAGTTGAGGATGTTGCAACATCTTGATAACATCTGTTATCGATCTTTGAAGCCTCACATCCATCTCAATCGAACCCTTGGAAGAGTATTGTTGAAAGGTATCACACATAACCTCTAAATCGTCATCATTCTTGAGCTCAAACGGGGTGAACTTTACGTTTCCTTCAGTGTCAAGTGAAGGTGAACGACACTCAAGCTTGATCACCTTTCGATTCTCTGGATACTGCAAGAGAGAATGCAGTATCGTAATGAGCTCGGCGAACAGTGTGTCATGTGAGAACCTGAATTGAAGTGGTGACTGCGCACCACTGAAGTAGATAAAAGCATGGTGTGGATATATTTGTGTCATTTCTGGTTTTGCTTTGTGGTGGATAATAGAATGGTTTGGAGACTCAATATATAAGCAAGTTTGAGACGAAAAATTCATTGATATTGATTGAAATTTGTTGAGGGTTTTTGTTATAGGAAAAGAAAATGAATGAAATAGTTGAAATAGGTGACTATGCAGCATTCTAATATGAAAAGGGAAGTTTCGCACGTGCCCATTTGATTTCACCTTTCAGGATGTTTCGCATGTGCACATACGAAACCAGCTCAATATTTTAAAATCCAATGTTTAAATATTAAAACATGCAAAATAAAAGTATCTTCGCATATGCACTTCTGAAACATTCTTATAAATAAATTCACAAATATACATAAGAGTATTTTTAGATTTTCAATGGTGAAAATCACCACTACTAAATATAAACAAAAATTCCCTTTAATTTATAAGTAAAATTAGTTTTAAAGGAGCTTACCTAATTGATATGTATTAGTTTATAAGAGTAAAATTTCACACATTATTATTATATTTAATTGTCACATAAATATCACCAAACTTTGAATTATTAAACAAACTAAGACAATGTAATGTATAGGTCTTGTTTTTATTCTCGGTGTGACTCGACATGTATTCTGTTGAGAAGTTGAATTCTATAATAAAAAACCATTCAACATGAGCTGTTGAACTAAGAAAAAGGAAAAGCATACAAAAGAAAGTAACGTATAGAAACATCTACCAACGGCACCAACCTGACAAGTGACAACCATTCATACGTTAACACCGCCTACACAATTTCTCATTTCCAGCTGCCCGCGTTTTGTGGGTCCCACACTCCTCCCCAATCTAGCTATAAATACTTGCCACTCCCTTTCATCACCATAAATCAAAATCTCTCAAAATACAAACCTTCCTTCTCCAATTAGCAATTTCACAATGGCATCATCAACTACCACTGTCAAAATCATTTCCTTCCTTTTCGTTGTTCTTTTCGCCGCTGTTTCCTCCGCTCAAGATCTCAGTCCCTCGTCGGCTCCAGCACCAGGTCCCGACGCCGGAGCTGCCGGATCTGTTACAAATTCTGTGGCTATAATCGGAGCTTCAATTGTGCTGTCAATGTTTGCTATCTTCAAGAACTGAGTAAAACACTATGACTCCAGCTTCTGGGATCTGAGTGATAACTTCTACTAGTTCATCTATGTATAGCAGAGAGTGAGATAGATTTTTTTACAGTATTTATTTATGTATTTCATTATTTATTGTAGATATTAGTGAAAAATAAAAAAGAATATTTTTATTGTTATTATTATATTATTATTACTAGCATGCATTCTAAATAAGACAAAACTTAGATTTAATTTTCTAGATGAGATTTTTACTATTTTCAAATGAAAAATAATAAGTATATATATATATATATATATATATATATATATATATATATATATATATATATATATATATATATATATATATATATATATATATATATATATATATATATATATATATATATATATATATATATATATATATATATATATATATATATATATATATAAAATTATAAGAATTATATTTAAAGAATTGTACTTAAACAGTCGAATCGAAGACCTCTACTGATGAAATTTATTTCTTTCAATTAAAGACACGAGAAACAGGACATCTTCTGGTAAGGTTTATTTCTTTCAGTTGAAGACACGAGAAACAAAGACATCTTCTGGTTAGATTTATTTCTTCCAGTTAAAGACAGACGAAGCAAAGATCTCTTCTGGTTAGATTTATTTCTTCCAGTTAAAGACAGGCGAAGCAAAGACCTCTTCTGGTTAGATTTATTTCTTCCAGTTAAAGACAGACGAATCAAAGACCTCTTCTGTCACTATGGATGGCATCTGTAAGCCCATCTCCGGAAAAATCTTCATCATTTCTTCAAATGACATCTATAAGCACATTCTCAAATCAATACATCATCGAGTGTAAATTTCTGGGGACTTTGGTGTTCAATCATCTTTCACATTCAAGTCACGAAAGGCGGATCCGCCAGTCTCACTCTTCAAGTTTAAAAAGATTAAACAAGGGCAGCTGTTGTACCCCAAAATTTCCCTCTCAATTTCTCAAAGATTCTCTCACAAGATCTCAATTGATTTAAGAGTGCAACAAGATTGATCAGCTCAAGATACCTCCCTAAGCACCGATGACTCAAAATTAAGGTTTGAGTTTATATAAACACAATTGGACCTTTAATGCTTCATATGATTTTCATAGATCATTTTGGACTCCAAAGATGGCTCATATCAAGTTTCAGGCTTTGGATCACATTTTTGTCCAGTTAATTGGTCAGTTGACCTAAAATCAACTTTATTGGGCAAAAAAGTCAATTGTGTTCAATTCATATTTAAACTTCATAATTTTTTATTCATATCAACATATTGAACTCATATATGTCAATTGGTCAAATTTGGATCACAATTTCTCAAGAAATTTGATTAAATCACAAAAAAGGCAAAATTGTCAAAATTAAGATTTTTACTGTGGAGGCTTGATTTTGGACTTTCAACCCAGATACATGACTTGATGGTTTGAGACATGATATTAAGAATCCAAGTGCATCACTTTGACCTAATGGCATGGTTCAAAACACTTCTCAAAATCAATTGATTGATAATTGAAATTTGGTCAACTGATGAAAAAGTTAATTGTACACTGAAAAGTCAAACTTTGACTTTTTGATCAAAATCAAGTTTCAAAAATCATGTTTCATCAAGACATGTCAAAGTATGAAGATTGTTCATCAAGAAGTCAAAAGTCAAGAATACTTTGGAAAAAAGTCAAAGTTCTAAACACTTAGAAAAAAATTTTAAGTGTTAAGAAAATATGATAATTTCATAACTTTGCGCCAGATTTTCACCATGATGCAAGATGATTCAAGGAAAAATTTCAACATGAAAGTTGTAGATCCCAATGAAATTAGAAATGTTGTAGGACAGAACTTCTTCTAGAAATGCTTGGATCTCAAGTTATAAATCCATGAAGACATGTCCATGAAACTAAAACACTTAGTAAAATTCTGGGCGTTTTAAGTCAGAACTTTGACAGAACTTCTGAGCCAATTTTCATACAGTTACAATGAGAGTTTGCAAAAGTGATTCAAAAGGGGATTACAGAGCATGTTACAAACTTTCTAAAAAGTCAAAGAACTCCTTCAGATCATGCTGGAGCAAGGAGAATCGAAGATCAAAAGTTGGACATTCGCTCTTAAATTATGAGCCATTTTCATGATGAACATCTGATCCATTTCCAAACAATGCTGCATAATCCCACTTTTCAGGCCATCTAGCGTGTGTATCTATCCTTAATCAGAAGATTACACGAGCTTTTGAGCTATGAACCACTTGATTTAAGCTTTGTCCAATACACCTTGTCGTTTAAAGAAGAAAGTTCACACTTCCATTCTGAAAAAGTGACTTTAATCACAAAGTCCACTCTCCATGAGCTTTGTGTTTGTTCTTTCTGCACAAGCATTCCCCTACAACTCAGAACAGACGTGTTTAAAGTTGCTAGCCACCCTATCTTGCCTTGAAACCATGTTTGTCTAAGTTTGCTTCATCAACAAGTCAAAATCCACAACATGTGATTTTTGTACTCCTGACTTCTCCAAGCTTCCAAACCCTTCGCTTATAAATTAAACCTTCATTTGCAAGCTGAAAGAGGATTGGACGGGCCCTGAAACACACTAAAACTCTCTAGAACCAAAAATTGCAACACAAGCACAAAACTTGTCATTTCTGATTTTTGAATCCAATCTCCAAAACCCCTTGTGTGTTTCTTGGCCAAACCATCCACAAAGTTTCTGATACACATATGGAAGCAATCCCAACTTCTGTTTTCAAACTGTAACATCATCTTCACCAAACTCCACTTTCAAAAACAGAGCATTACAACTTGGTTGCCTCAGAACATTCCAGCCATCCACAGCTCAAGCAAACCATTGCATTAGCTTCCTGAGAATTTGAGGAAGCTAACCAGATCATCACAGCAACTTGAATCAAGCTCTAGTTCAGAACACGATCTTCAACTGCAAGGTAAGTTCTTCTGATTTTCATCTCATTACTTAGGCATTGTTAGACTTGCATTTTCAAAGACAAAATGTAGATATCATTGCTCTGAAATTGTATATATCTATAGATTTTATTTATATGGCCTGATTAGAGAGAATTTAGGATCAGAACTTCTTGAAAAAAATTAGGGTTCAGATTAGGGTTAGTAAAATTCACGTTTGTTTCTAATTTATAGTTTTAATGCTTTATAGTTCTGGAACCATGATGAAATTTGCCATAACTTTCATGTTTACATTTTCCATTTTGGTTGAGAAATGAATGAGTTGTAGATGCTCTGGTTGGCGCAAGAAAGAAGATGGAGTTCATCATCAGAACTGATTTTGTAATACATATTTGTGGTTTTGTTTATAATATCAGATGTATAGCCACCCCAGTGGTAGAGAGCGCGCGGGTAAGGAGTTAGTGTTAAGGGTATGTTTCCAGTGATTTCTGGTAAACAACCGCTAGTCTTCCAAACTATCGAATAATCTTTCTGACTGTTATTCAATTCCTCTAGTAACTCACAGGATCGACTAGATTGATCCTAGGCTTCCTTGGACATTAAGGTTATTTTCACGATCGAACAGATATTCATGGTTGATATTTGAGTGTTGTATATGCGTTTGGCTTATTTCGATTTCTCTCTCAAAAAGTCTAAAGATGTAATCAAAATGTGCGTGTACGAAACTAAGTTGCATGAATAAATGTTAATTGTAAAGACATGTAAAATTGCATAAAAGTCAAGTAAATGGTTTCGAATTATAAAACAGTTAATGTAAAGGATTTCTGGAACGTAAAAGGTTTGAAATATGAAGAAAGCGTTAATGCAAGAAATCTGTAAATGACTTTAAGTAAAAATATGCGTTCGAAGGATAAGACTTGAAGGTAAAGGTATGGAAAATATGACAGTTTTCTGAGATGTAAAGTGCTTGAAATGTGAAGAAAGCATTAAAATGTAAAACTTTGAAGAAGAGATTTCGAAGTGAAAAGACTGTAAATGAGAAAACTTGTAAATGTTATTTGACAAAAAGATAAAGGAAAGTGCTGGAAATGGTAAAAGGTTTTCATTAAATCAGAAATACATGGTGCTATCATACGTACATTTCTCTTGCATTCGTTTCCCTTGCCATGTGGTAGTTTGAATGTTACTGAGTATTTAGTACAATAGATATGACACCCGAAATCCTAATACTAAGACTTCTATTTATACTAATTCGACCATAACGGTCTTGCTACAGGATTATGCCACGTTGAGAACATGCAGAACAATGCCTCTTTCTTCTTTCCACGTGTCCCCAAATGCTCCAGCACATAACTTTCAAACTTCGAATGTCCCGCTTCCATTTGAATTTCAAATGCTTTGGTATTTCTCCGTTTCGAACGCACTTCCCAGACACAGCCTTGTTGTTATTTCGAGACTTCTTTAGATATGTTCCCATAATTGCCACTCGAAGCTCCAAGCTTTGACATGCTTATTCGAAACACTGCTTCTGCTACTTCGAAACATGACGCTTTACCTCATTTCGATCGAAACGTTTAATTCATTTGGCTTCTAATAACATTATCAAAATCTTCAGCCAACAAATTGCCCCTTTAAAATATGTATTTCGATTCATCTGAGAAATACCTATTTTAAACATCTACACAAGATTTTGATGTGACTTTCGAATTATCATAACATTTAATGCATTTGACTCCAGTCACGTCAATCATAGCACCTTTTGGATTCCTTAACCGCCTGGAGCCACTTCACAGCATGGTGCAGTTACAAATAATGATTATCTTTAAATCACGCCTATTACCCATGTTAACTTTACGCCACCTCTTCATCACACCAACCCATGATTTCCACGTATCACACCCTTATTCAGTGGATGCTTAAACTTCCCCATTATAAAACATCACCAACTTAATCTTTTTCTTTTCTTTTCACACTCTAAATCTTTTACCCTCCTTCTCTCGTCAAAAAACCCCAAGCTTTCAACATCTTTCAGAAATGTCTTCTTCTACTTCATCCCAACTCAAGAAAGTCTCCAAGAAGAAAGGAAAAACTGCAGGAACTACCATGGAAAGTAAAATCATCACTCACCAAGGTCAATCCGTTCTTGCCCCTCAGATGATTTCAAAGGAAAAAGAAATGTTGTATGCGTCACAGGTACTCATTCCTACCAACGTTGTTGGTAAGAGGTTAGCTTTAAATGGCCCTCTTACGGTTTTTGAAATATTAAAAGACACCAGGACGATTTTCCCAGTTTGTTATAGTTTTAAACCCTTATTTAACAAAATGGACGCCCCTGAGGCAGTAGAATCTTTTAGTTCAAATACCATAGAAAACCCAACTGTTCCTCCTAAGGACCCCTTTGTATTGGATTATGTAAAAAGTAATTTTAAGCCATTTCGATCTTGCCCCACCTCTGATATTGCTTATCAAAATTGGTTCAAGAAAGTAGAAGCTAAGAAATCCCAGCAATGGGAAGAATTAGGTATCTATAACCTGATTAAGCTATCGAAGCCTGGTTTCACCTACAGCCACCCTCTGCTATTCGCGTCCCTCTATTTCTGGGACAGTACCTATAACACTTTCCATCTCCCAGGTGGAATGATCACCCCAACCTTCTTCGACATAGCGGCCATCACTGGGCTATCGCCAGTGGGAGAAACTTATATACCCGACAACGAAGAACATTCAAGCATAATTGACTTCGAAGTCAAGCTAGCCAGTTTTTCCAAGTTTATCAGTCATTACCATGCTGAGGGGGACAATGTGTCTGACGTAGAGCACATTGCTTTCTTAACCATGTGGCTGTCAAGATACGTTTTCTACAGTAGATCCCTACAGGTAGCTAGTAGGTTCATTCCTCTAGCTAGGGACTTGCATGAAAATCGAAAAGTGTGCCTAAGTGAACTGCTCTTAGTTGACCTTTATGAAAGCCTGAGGTCAGCTGTTTCGAGCCTTAAATCCCACACCTCCAAAAATATTCTATTGGCCGGCCCTTTTTGGTTACTTCAACTATGGCTAAATGCCATGTTCGAACCCTCCTTGTCGACCGCA